CATAAACAGTGAGTATTGTGAAAGTGATCAGATAGACAAAGCTAAGGAGTTCATAGAAGAATGCATAAACACTGACTATTGTGAAAGTGATCAGATAAACAAAGCTAGGAGGTTTATAGAAGAATGCATAAACAGTGAGTATTGTGAAAGTGATCTGATAGACAAAGCTAGGTTTATAGAAGAATACATAGACAGTGAGTATTGTGAAAGTGATCAGATAGACACAGCTAAGGAGTTCATAGAAGAATGCATAAACAGTGAGTGTTGTGAAAGTGATCAGATAGACAAAGCTAAGGAGTTCATAGAAGAATGCATAAACAGAGAGTATTGTGAAAGTGATCAGATAGACAAAGCTAAGGAATTCACAGAAGAATGCTTAAATAAGTACTAGAAATGGCTTCAAAATTCAGCACAAAATGGCCATATTCTTCCCATGTTATTGTGCATTCTTTTTATCATCAGAACAACATATATGGCTTCATATCAGTAAATCCTGCTCACAACACTTGTGGGTTTATTTATTATGGGACCCTAACCCTTACGGAGAATATCTATGCAACTTAGAGAAGTCCAAAAAGCATGTGGCAGTAAAATTGGCACACACTTTTTTTTCACTCCGAAGCAGGTCAAGATATTCTCATTTAAAATCAACTTTTCATTTAATGAGATACAAACATTTTAATATTCTGTATCTCAGTTACCACATAGAACATAGAAAATGTGACATCTACTGTCCCATTAATTAAAATTTGACACTATTGTATCTGAACAGAACATTTGAGTGGACAGCCATTGCAGCATGATGCATTGAAGAGATTCCAGTTTATTATATGGGAGCGAGCTTCACAAGCTTATGAGGTATGTCAAAGAGTATGGTAAAACATGATACATATCTATTATATTTATGGATTATTTACCAAACATGATGTACCTTATTATTATACATCTTTCACTATAACGCCATGCATGCGGTAATTTTGCGGTAATTTACAAGGTGTTTTCATCCTACCATATTAGGTAATGCGAATTCCAAATATGGAATGATTACACATGTATGTGTCTTCTAATAATAAAAACAAACATGGCTGCCACCAGAGTTTTACCGTACTCAACACAAAGAAGTTCGCTGATTCTGTTCTAAACATTTTGGATTTAGGCATTCCCATGGTGTATCCTTGGAAGGAAAAGATGTATAATAATAAGGTTATTACAAGAATACCTCAATGTATGCATTCAGACAGTATGCCGCACATACTCCCGCTGTACTGTCTTCGTGCATACTTTGAGGTATCCTCGTAATAACCTCATAATATTATAATGTATTGCAAGATGGATATATTTTAGAGGTGCATAGCATAATATCACAAGCAATACCACAATTTGTTTTAATTGACAGAGCAATAACTTTGATGAAGCACTGATATGGTTTAATTACTCCCTAAGTCTATTCAATAAGAATGATGAAAGTAGTTGGAAGAATTTATCCAAACTACAAAGAAATATAACATCATGTCATATTGGGTTGCAACAGTTTGACAAGGTAAGTATTGCAATGTGATTTGATTATGGAAGAAATTATAGTCACATATAAATGACTTGTTGATCTATGATTGACCATAGATATAGCAACTGACAACATACACTGGTGACCAGTGACAACATGCACTGCTGACCAGTGACAACATGTACTGCTGACCAGTGACAACATGCACTGCTTACCAGTGACAACATTCACTGCTGACCAGTGACAACATGCACTGCTTACCAGTGACAACATGAACTGCTGACCAGTGACAACATGCACTGCTGACCAGTGACAACATGCACTGCTGACTAGTGACCAAATGTACTGCTGACCAGTGACAACATGTACTGATGACCAGTGACAAAATGCACTGCTGACCAGTGACAACACGCACTGTTGACCAGTGACAACATGCACTGCTGACCAGTGACAACATGCACTGCTGACTAGTGACCAAATGTACTGCTGACCAGTGACAACATGTACTGATGACCAGTGACAACATGCACTGATGACCAGTGACAACATGTACTGCTGACCAGTGACAACATTCACTGCTGACCAGTGACAACACGCACCGCTGACCAGTGACAACATGAACTGTTGACCAGTGACAACATGCACTGCTGACTAGTGACAAAATGCACTGCTGACCAGTGACAACACGCACTGTTGACCAGTGACAACATGCACTGCTGACCAGTGACAACATGCACTGCTGACTAGTGACCAAATGTACTGCTGACCAGTGACAACATGCACTGCTGACCAGTGACAACATGCACTTCTGACCAGTGACAACATTCACTGCTGACCAGTAACAACATTAACTGCTGACCAGTAACAACACATACTGCTGACCAGTGACAACATTAACTGCTGACCAGTAACAACACATACTGCTGACCAGTGACAACATGAACTGCTGACCAGTGACAACATGAACTGCTGACCAGTGACAACACACACTGCTGACCACTGACAACATCAACTGCTCACCAGTGACAACATGCACTGCTGACCAGTGACAACATTCACTGCTGACCGGTGACAACATTCACTGCTGACCAGTGACAACATTCACTGCTGACCAGTGACAACATTCACTGCTGACCAGTAACAACATTCACTGCTGACCAGTAACAACACATACTGCTGACCAGTGACAACATGAACTGCTTACCAGTGACAACATGCACTGCTGACCAGTGACAACATTCACTGCTGACCAGTAACAACATTCACTGCTGACCAGTAACAACACATACTGCTGACCAGTGACAACATGAACTGCTTACCAGTGACAACATGAACTGCTGACCAGTGACAACACACACTGCTGACCAGTGACAACATGAACTGCTGACCAGTGACAACACACACTGCAGACCAGTAACAACAGGCACTGCTGACCAGTGACAACACACACTGGTGACCAGTGACAACATGCACTGCTGACCAATGACAACATGCACTGCTTACCAGTAACAACATGAACTGCTGACCAGTGACAACACACACTGGTGACCAGTGACAACATGCACTGCTGACCAATGACAACATGCACTGCTTACCAGTGACAACATGAACTGCTGACCAGTGACTATATATGTACTATATTATTTTCAATACTAGCGTATTGATTGATGGCCTGAATCATCTGTCTATTTTCAGGCAGCAGACACAGTGAAAGAAGCACAGCAGTATGATTCCCTCAGTCCTCATACACACTACTTAATTTACAAGATAGCACTTTCACAGTGTGATAACACTAAAGGTGATATAATCGGTGTAATTCTTTCAGTCCTCAGACATACATGTACTACTTAGTTTAAAAGATAGTACTTCCACAATGGGAGACAATAAATGTAAATATTTTTTATGTAATTTTGAAGACTTCATTGTTTGTGTTCACGATTTTTAGGTGTGAATTGCCCTTCCCCACTTATTTTAACCAATATTTTTACACACAAAATGCTTAGATATACTGCTTTAAGATTTATTTTTGCCATGCAATGAAAATATCATGTACTGTTAGATTTTAATGATGAGTTCATCCAATTATGTATCTTCAATCAGACACTTTGTTCTTATTATCCCATCACAGCTGCCAACATACTGATTTAAATTGTAATAGTTTGCATTTCTTGTCATAGCTGTTGATGCATTGCAAAAAATGTGTGCACTAGCAAACAACAAAGATGATGCAGAAAAGCAGGAAAATAAACAGGATGATATACATGTGTTGATATGTCTAGCAGCTCAGTTAGCTTTTGAGGTATGTGCTAATCTTATCCTATAGGATACTTTGAATGAATTTCAGAAATGATAAAATAAAGTACTGCCTGAAAAAAAGTGAGAAGATTCATCAGCAACTGTTTATATTCCTGGCACTTAGTGTGGACGGGGCATATACCGGTAGTGGTTACCAGCGTCCATATCAGGAGCATTATTGCAGATAAAGACATTCACAGTGTTATATTAAAGACATTGCTCACCAGATCTGATCTACATATTTAATAACCATGTATGGTCAAGTGACCTTATTAGTCCCCGTTTTGACCTTTGTGTGTGTGTGCGTCCGGGCCTGTATCTTAGACATGCCTGGACCAATCACAATCAAACGTCATACATACATCATATATAATATTATACATATGCACATCAATTTGTTTTACAATCTGTATGGGTTTAGTTTTGTTTACGGGACCTTGATGCACATCATTTTATTTTTCAGATCCAATTTCTAGTGCCATATCTCTGCCATGCTTTGATTGATTATGGTCAAATCTATATATTTATTATACATCATGACATAGATATATTAGTTTGACTATCTGATTCAAAATGGCCAAATGGCAGCCATTTTTTTGCTAAAAAATCATCAAAAATCAAGCATTTCTAGCATTCCAGAACTGGATCTTGGCGTTTATGGATGGATTTTGTTCAAACGTGGTACTTACATTAGAGATTATGGGTTCCTGATGCATGTCATTTTATTTTTCAGATCGGATTCAAAATGGCTGACTGGCGGCTATTTTGTTTTAATGAATGCGCTTCAAGAGCCATATCTCTGATATGCTATGACTGATTATGTTCAAATTTTATATATTTCTTTTACATCATGTTTTATATATATTCAAAATGGCCGACTGGTGGCCATTTTCATTTTGTTAATGCTATTACAGAGCAATATTTCTCAATATCGACAAGTACTTGTTTGACGATCAGATGCAAGATGTCAATCATTTTTAAAAATCATCATAATCAAGCATCATCTGGATCCACACTTAAATTACTTATATCTGAAATTTTATAACTAACAGGGACTGTGCCATGCATGGCTTGTTAAAAATGCATAACACTCCTACCTTGATCACTATTGCAGATATAGGCATTCAACCAGTGTTTTTCATGAAGATGCCAGTGGAATCTGCCATTCTAAGACTTTCTTGTAATTTTGTAATCATTTTATCATTGTTTCTCAATATATGACACTATGACAGAAGAGTAACCGAGAAGTAGCAGTGACTGCACTGGAGGGATTAGTAGAAAATGCAGATAATATCCAACAAGTGTTGACATCATTGAGGTGTCTTATACGATTAAAATTAACCATCAACTCTGCAGATGACCAGAAAAGGTAACAGTTATCATAACATGCTATTGCATTAGAACACACACCATAAGCATGACAGTTTGTACATTATGCATATGTTAGAAGCAAACAAAATAAACATCACTGAAATTCTTTTTCATCCATTGGTTGTTTGTAAAGAGAGAATACATGACAGACATGTGACTTAGTAGTTCTATTTAATCATAAAGTAACATAGACTGCTAATGAGTATATTCACAGGCTGCTGAAATACAGCAATGCAAGTGTATTTTACCACAGGTTTAGGTCCTGGGGTAGCCAATATAGTATTACAATGACGGTGGTTTAAATTAAGTGGAACCTCAAAATCAAATTTGTTGATGTCATGAAAAAGAGGTTCTCAAAAAAAATAATATTGTGTTAATATACTATTAAAGCTGAAAACAATTTAAATTTAAATCAATTTATGATTTTCGGATGATGTACCAAAAAAATAAAGTAGTCAATTGCTTCGCGAAAATCAGTGTATCAGTGATATTTAAAACTGTCTTTTAAACATTTACAATGTTTAAAATAATAACTGCTTTTTTATTTTAACCTACAGATCAGAGAACACTGATATTCTGAAGTATGTCGAGACAGGTAAATTATCTCCAATTTTCAAATTTGCACTTTAGATTATAACTACATTGTATATTCAAGATTGCATATGACAACATATCCTACTATTGCAGCTTACAGCAAACTTACTGAAATGAAGGGCAAACAGGAGAGCTGTGAAAGTGTACAAAAGGAGGCTGCATGGTTTATGAAAATAGGTAATGTTGGTGTTTTTCATATTTCCTGAGATTGGACAGGATTACATGTATCAAGTATAGTGAGAGATTATGAGAGTTTTAGATGTTAAAAATCATCACAGTAGTAATTGTATACAAAGATACTTGCAGTGCATTATGTCTGATTCAGCAAATGTATAAACATTGTGTAACAATTGATAGCTTGCCGCACATATCGTGCAAGGTGTGCCGAGAGTTTGTTCGAAATGTTGAATGTTTAGAAGTCAATCATCAGCCGGCACGTACTTTTTGGATATAATAAATCGTTTCAGAGGCCTGTTTACTAAATAATGATAAATGAAACTGGTCCAAAAATTGCGCAAATTTGCGCAATAAATTTATGCTGCTAGTGTGTGGTTTGGAAGGCGTTCTATGCATGATTTTATTGCGTTCCCAGACGTTCTATTTTTAAACTAGTTGAAACCGGAAATTACATTGAATACTTTTGAACTTCACACACAAATTTGATTATCATTATTATGTGTTTGTTTCTGTTGTTTCAAAGCTGGGATTATTTGTGACATTAATATTTCACTCACTTAACAATATTTTACTAAAATATGTGATTAAAAAGCAACTTAAATTGGAAAAAAAAATTATCAAGTTCTGTGTTAAACACTAGTGTGAAGAGGCGGTGGAGCGTTATTTTAACCAAAATCAGCTAATAAGGCATCATATGACACAGGTCTGTGCTGGGACAGTGCTTCCTGTGACACCACAATGTAGCTTGCCCATTTTGATTGATAGAAGGAAATGAATTTGAAGGCATTTTGAGGGTGCAGGTGTATTATCAAGATTATTTGAAGGACCAGCAAAGTGTAATCCAGCAACAATTGTGTCTTTTATTACATCCAACCATTCAGTATCCAAATTTTAAAAACACTTGGATGTAAATTGCATGAATTATTGTAACCACAAGAACCAGACATTTTCAGATGAAATTTTACTATTTTAAAAAATAAACAAGCAAATCAAGCAAGATTTTATGGTCACAAATATGATATCCAAGTTTTAAAAACACTTGGATGTAAATTGTATGAATTATTGTAGCCACAAAAAACAGTTATAGATGGGAGAAACAAGACAGAAAAAAGATAATTATATATACCGGGGTAGTGTACTATATACAACACAGGCACTTGTTATTTTCTATTATCATTTTAATATATTTTAACTATTAAATCTTTTGAAATTCAAGTTTTTTTGTACTAGTGTACTAATACTTATTTGCTGAACACTAGATACTTATTGTTTTTACAGCATGGAACTTAGGAATACAGAATGAGAATTCCAGTTACAATATGCATCAGTTTTTCTACCACTGTTGTAAGGTTAGTGCACTTTTAGCAAATCATTGTGCATGTTGTCATTTGATGTTGGATGTCTTTTCGGTATTAAAAAAGAATTGAATTATCACTATAACACAGTCACTCTTAGTAATATGTTGGGCTTTTGTGAAATGCCTGAAAACATGGAGTTTTGGACTGACTTCTTTTTGTGCGTGCATCTGTACTGTTTGCTTTGACTGATTAAATTCAAACTTCACGTATACATCAGACAAACAAATGTGCATATTTGTCATTAACAATTACAAAATGGCTGACTGGCAATCATCTTAATTGTTTGAAGGAATGCATTTTCACTGACCCATATCTGCAACAATCAACTTTAAACTTCACACTTACATCACACATCATGTCATCGACATTGATTTGTTATCTCATACTATGCATTTATTTGATTTTGCACTCACCATTGTCCTTGTGCTCAAGGCTACTATGAGCCAGTGTGACAGATATGACAAGCAGAATGGATCTGCTGACCATGTAGAAACAACTGTAATCAATATTCAATAGTGAGCAGTTAGAATTGTTATGTTAGAATCTACCATGCATCTACAACTACAAGTGCCAATGATTTCAATACCTCAGTGACAAATTAAATCATTGTTATATAGTTTGGTAGATTGTGTGCAGTTGATATGGGTAATCTAATTCGACAGAAGACGTGCATGTTGATGGCTGCTGCATCTTGTCTTCAGATGGCAAAGGACATCTCAAATGAACAAGAAAAGGTAAATATCAATGCCTCACATGTATGTTGGTGCACACTGATGTCATATTTGTAAACCAGCTTTGGTATATATCTGGTAAAGAATTTATGTATCAATACTATGATAATCCACAGAGAATATTTTCCCATACATCATTTTCTTAATAGGGGCATATACATATATGCACATATCCAAAATGTGAATGAGTGCATTCTACTTTTCTTTGTTTGCATAACACTGCTGTGCCCCTAAATGTTTGAAATGGAGTGGTTTCTATGATTAACATTGCATTTTGCATACAATGATATACAACCATATAATATCTTCCATAATACAATTTGTACTATGTAATAACATGTATAATGTACTCAAATCACTTTTTATTGTCAGAAAACTGCTTTGCATCAAGTATTGAGTCATGTTAAAGAGTGCAGAGAAATACGTCAACAGATTAAGGACAATAAGATATCTGATACAGGTATGATAATATTTAAATAACTACAAAGCTTGTACTTCAGGTTGAGAGGGCTCCCAGCCAGTGTCTATTTCACGCGAATGCCTCCCGTAGGCTGTATGGCATTCTGTTCTTTTGTGATATTTGCTCAAATTCGTTCGTATTTTTAGCTCTGCTGTCGACTTCGTCGAGCGTAGCTTATCATATGAGTGATGGTCTGACGGCGTCCGCGTCAACTTTTTACTTTTTTCGACTTCTTCTTGTAAACTACATGTCTGAATGCTTTGATACTTGGTGTGTATGTACCTTGGGTAGACCTCTCTCAGATTTGTTCATTTCATTATATCTTCAATTCTCTAATTTTGGAGAATATTTTTGGTAAAAAGTGTCATTTTCGAATTCTTGTTAAAAAACGCAAGTCCGATTGCTTTGATATTACACATATGGGTAGTACATATGGACCTCTCTCAGAATTGTTCATTTCATGATGATATCTTTGATTCTCTAATTTTGATGAATATTTTTGTTATTTTTGGTAAAAAGTGATATTTTTGACTTCTTGTTGAAAACAGCAAGTCCGATTGCTTTGATACTATACATACTGTTCATTTTCTAATGATATTTTCAGTTCTTTAATTGAAATGTGCATTGCTAACAGCTATCTCAGACGACAGGCTGCTCGTTTAAAATTTAAGACACTGGTGTATTTGAGTGAGAGATTAGCAGTGCATGGTATGGTTAACATTATAATAATTTGTACTTATACTTTGTGTATTTGATGCTTCATATTTTGGTTTTAAATTTTCTAAATTAGATACGCAAAAAGATACTACAGTGGTGTTACTGGTCCTTTATGAATTTGAAGCCTATGCTAGACTAGGACAGACTGATGAACTGAGTAAAATCCTAGATAAAGCGTTATCACTACCCTTTGCTGAACCTAAAACATTTGAAACGATGGCAGGTCTGTGTGCTTTTTTATAGCTCTGTTGTCTTAAATATTGAGCAGAATACTTAAAACTGAAGTTAATAATTCAAAACCAATTTTCCATAAAGACATAATTTTAGCCACATTTAAATTTAATTAGTTTTTAAAAAACTGGTATTCTGATTGGTTATTGGCATTACTGATCTTATCAGGTGCAAAGAATGACTGGTCAACTTTTGTCCTAGAAAACAAGGCAGATTGATTGAGTTCACCAAAACATTCGCTTTCGATAAATGAACGTTTAATTTTACATATATTTCATAGCAAACCGAATAAATACAATTTTTTGATTCAAACCATGATTGAAGAATAAATGTTGTTTGGAAAAGTATGTATTTTTGTGTGTACATGTGGTATGGATGGTAGTTTTTGAGATGTTTTGATTCTTTAATCGTCATAATATGCTTACCGACGCCTAGATTAGTGTTTGACCATTTAGAGGTCCAAGAACAAAAACATGTATGAAGACAAGCATAATTCTGGGATCGGTCTCACTTTTAGTAGCTAAATATATTCCAAAAATCTAATAATTAAGTGGTCATTTTTTATAGTTTTTGCAATCAGTCAATATGTCAGATAACTAGAAAATTCCTGTGTAAAAATTTGTCAGTCACGTTCATTATTAAAGTGTTCTGTATCGTCTTTCTTTTTCGTAGCTTTATCAATGGAATCACCTTCCAATTGTAAAGTAGTCAGTATAAGAGCTTTAAAAGTATCTGTTAAGAAATACATGCAGGCTGAGAACCCAGATTACATCAAATGCAGGTAATTATAAAACTCATCCTTGTAATTTGCCTATGACATTACATGTATGTTTCTTCCCAGTTATATTTCTTTTACTCTTAGAGATTGACTTGAAGATTGAATCTGATTTTTATCCATTATTAGCATCTGATCTTACAACTCTCATGTACATACTGTACTTGTTCGACTTAGTGCCCTGAGTACTCAACTTCAGATAATTTTTTAGGGAGGTGGGCGCTCAGCAGAATACCCTCTGTAAATCCTGTTTGCCAGACAGGGGGAAATAAACAAAAATAGTCACAAAAAATATGCACATCTTATTACAAAATTAGTTACGTACCTTCAGAATTTAGGGTGTAAAATTTATTAAGGTCAAGATCTTTATCATTAGCTTTGTTGCTGAATGTGTTCAATCGTATGCAAACTGTAGATGCAATTTCATCATGATGTTTTTTACCATTATTTTACCTGCAACAACGTCCTTTACCTTCAAGGTCAAGTCTGTTATTATTAATCAGAATGTAGTGTTGTACTAACAAAATTCTCCCGAGGCATTCTGTGCTTTTTTTATTACCTTTTTACAGACATGGACAGTGTCATTGACAGTTAGTGTTTGTATTCTTCATTTGCAGCAAAGTGTTCCGTAGCTTAATTCAGCTGTCATTGAAAGACAATAGTAGTACAGATATTGATAGTAAGGAGGAAACATGGCAGTATTATATGGAAGTTGTCCAAATTATTGAAAACAAGGCAAAGGTGAGGAAAACCCAAGGAGTCTGTTGCATTTACTAAATAAATCTATTTCTTTGGTTTGAATCTTAAAACTAACAATAAAGTTTTATTTTATTATCTTATATAATATTTTATTATCTTAAAAAGTGAGTTGAACTAATTTTGTTTATAATTCACTACCCTTGCATTTTTATTCAACTCACAGTGGATTTAGAATACCTCTTTTATTAGTCACCATTTGGACGTAGTCCATGCAGCCATTTGAAAATTTATCACAAACTTTGTATATTCATTGAACATTACGGGTCCTTGATGCACATAATTTATTTCACCAAAAACAACATTAAAGGTAGTAAATATATATAAATAAATAAATAAATAACGAATTCTACTTAGAGAACTTTCCTATTTTTGCTGGGGATTACAGATATAGTTCGTCAGAACTAGGCGAGTACCCCTGTACATATAATTTCATAGTTTAACCACACAAATATCCAAATAAAGAATGAAAGAAAAAAAAAATTACAAATCAAATATTGAAGAGATAGATTTTTAACTCCCGTGTGCGAAGCACAAAAAGGGAGTCTTTGCAGTTAGGTTGTCTGTCTCTGTGTGTGTGTGTCTGTTCCACTGATATCTCAAGAACCATACATTGATTTTTGATGAAACTTGGCACATAGATGCTCCAAACTAATGCGCAGATTTGATTAGTTTTGAGTAAAAATCTGTGGAATATTAATTACCTAATTTGCATAATGATTAATCAATTTTCGGCTTTTCCACTGATATCTCAAGTACTAATTATCACATTTCAATAAAACTTGGTACATAGATGTCATAGGACACTGCACAAACCTGATAGTTTTTAGGGTAATATCAGTACATATTAATTACCTAATTTGCATAATTAATTAATTTTCAGCTTTTGATATTTCAAGTAGTGATCATCACATTTCATTGAAACTTGGTACATAGATATCATAGGACACTGCACAGACCTGATAGTTTTTAGGGTGATATCAGTAGATATTAATTACCTAATTT